ACACATCAACTTGTAATATTCCATATAATTTTCTTTTGGGGAGGCAACAGGATCAAGATAGAGACTGCCAGTTCTGTGACAGTAATACTTGTTTACTTTGTTTACTGTTAAATCCCAAAGGCCTAGAAAATTGACACTCCGTAAATATTTGTGAATAAATCTTTAAGTCATTAGCTACCAGATCTCAAAACCCTAATTCCCAAAAAACCTGAGTAGCAGACCCCAGGGAAGGTCCACAGCTCTCCCCAACTTTAGGTTTCTAGGACTCACTGATGCTGGAGGGCAGTGTGATAATGGAAAGAATAGGAAAACTGGGGTCAGGCAGACCTGTCTGCTAACATACTGTGTGATCTTGGGCATATTTCTTCACTTTCTCTGAACCCCAGTTTCCTCATCTATAAGACAAGAGTAATAATATCTATGTCTCACGATTGTTGTGAGAACTGAAGAAAACAACACGCAAAATAACCAGCAGGGCACTCCTAGCCATCTTCTTGACAGGTTCCCTAGGGCATTGATAACAAGGAAATGGCTATCCAGGGGTCAGCAGTGGCAACAGGAACCCCAACTACAGTCTCCCATCCAGGGCCTGCAGAGTACTAGTGACTCATCAGGGCCCTCCTCCAGGTGTGGAATTACAAATTGTCCCTCCAGATTCACTCCCAAAGGGGAAATCTTATGGCTTTAATTATTCTAAGAGATGATGAGTCTAGGATGTTGCCTAGGGCATCCTTGATTGTAGTCCTCTTTAGATACCTGGCATCCAATACCTTCCAAATAAGACCAATACCTTCCAAATAAGTAACCCTCCTAGGCCAGACCATGAGATCCATTGGTCACTGCTTCCGAGATGTTCTATGAGACCCACCCACCATCCACTCAAAGGAATGGGAAAAGAAAATTGGCGATAATAACCCAGTAAATAACATGGTACATGTCTCTCTGCCCAGGGGACTCTGAACACATTCCCTTCCAGGACAAGAAGCAGATCTCACAGGACTCATGAGTCAAGTCCGAAAGGCAGGGTCTGAGCCCCTTCCTCTCACTCACCAGGGTCTAGCCACCATGGCTGCTGTTTAGCTACTCAAACAAGTGAATCAATGCCTCCTTTCTTGGGACCTTTGTAGTTGAGGTCTCCACCTGAAAGTGCAGATCTTCACACAGGGATTCCTCTTTGTCACCCAGACAACAGCTCAAAGGCCGGCTCCCACTGAGCCCTGACCAGCCGATCTTCAAGTGGCCCCACTCCCACCCAGCTCCAGGGTAGTCACTTACTGTCCTTTCTGTCACTCCTTCAGAACACTGACCACTCTCTGATACTATCGTGCTCATTTGTTTGTTTACATGCTTACTAGCTGCTCACCCCACCTTAAACCCCGCAGGAGCAGTGGCACTGTCTGTCTTACTCACTGCTGTATACCCTGCAGCTGGAAGAGTATACAGGTTAGGTTTTCAGCAAGTATCTGCCACACACGAGTGACGGTATGGATGAACAAGGTCTTCTGGGAAGAACTACAGGGCCTGGTTTCGGGAGTTCAGATCTGCTGGGAAGCCAGGAGAAAAGGCATGGAGGGGACTGGTGTCTACGGGTGGCCTCACACATGACTCACAGCCATCAGGGCCCCGAGTCCAGGCGCCCTCTTTCCTTAGCTCCACCCAGTCTGTCCACCACTCCACACACTCCCTGGCAACCACCCCACATCCAGTGTTTACCACAGAGAGGAAGAAGGTAGCAGCGTGCTCCTTCAGCTCAGCTGCCACTAGAACACGGGCCAGGAGGAGATTCTGTGGCTTCACATGCAGTCCAAAGCCCTGGAGCTGGGTCTCTCAGCGTAGATTCCAACAGGCGCTGAGTAAATGGAGGGCCTCCTCAGGAGAGCGGGCTTTCCCCTCCTCCGCCCGACTTAAACCACCAAGAGGTCCTTTCCTGGCTGCCAGATAGGGCCCCTCGCTTTTCCAGGACACCTCGCACTCCAGTAGCAGGTCGGCACAGAGGCTCTGCACTCAAGCCAGGTCCTGCACTCTGACATTAGGGGTCAAGAGAAATCCATTCTCCAAACTGACTGACTCCACAGCAGCAACAGGGGCTGGTGTTTGGCTCTAAAGTTCCTGAAACCCTCTAGCACGGCAACTAGGGAAGGAGTCCAAGTCAATTATGGGTTTTCAACTAAATTGAGGGCCTCAAAGCTATCTGTGGACCAGCTCGGCCTCCTAGAGCAAGGGGCTTAAAATGTGACAGGTGAGGAGTGGGTTTCCTGTGGGGGAAACAGCAAAGGGAGAGCTCTGGAGAAAAGACGCAAGAGCCACTAAAACTGAAGGGTCTCTTCCCAGAGACTTGAACTTACCTCTGCCTCACACAAGTCTTTCTCCACCCCACCCTCCCTGAGCTGTTTCATTTCCTTTCAGAAAAACTTTGTTTTGGTTTGATATTTGCCTCTAGGCCTCTGGGAGAATTTTTGGAGCTTTGTTTCTCTTCTTGTTTCTAGGATACCTGAACTGCTCCTAGAGCAACAAGCGCAGTAGGAACTAGAGAGTGGGGGATGGGGGTGGGGGTGAGGATCACCAGGGAAGAAGAGAAGGACAAGGGAGGTGGAGGGGAAGAGCCTGCTGGGCTCACACAGACTTTGGCAGCTCCCCCAGATACCACTGAGGAAAAGGGGAGCTCTAGCACAGAGCAAAACCAAACACCCAGAAAAAAAAAGCCATTTGCAAAGGGAGAACTCAAAGTTCTAGGAAGTCAAATGGTCAGGAAGTGGGTCAGGGCAGTGCCCAGGGCTGGCCCAAGCCAACACGCAGGAGACCCACTAGAGGTGACAGCAAGGAAGCTCCCATACACCACCTGGAAGGATGACTCCCGGGCACATGCACCAGGCTGGGGCCTGCCCATAAACAGGAGCACACACCCTTAAAGGCACCTGAGGTCAGAGAGGGTGGGGAAGAGCGGGAGCAGGGCTCCATGCTCCCCAGGGCAGGGACACAGGGCTCAGCACGCCTAGAGCAGCAGCCCTAGCCTTCCCAGTCTGTCCCACATCCAGCCCCCGGACCACCTCCAACAAGAAGGAACCTGGCTTTCCCAGGCCGGGGCAGGCATGAGTGGAATTCCCCAGAGGCAGACTGCACAGGGTATCCAGCAACAGAGATCATTCATCACCTTGCTTCTGGAAATGGGAGGAGGCCAGCTCAGCCCCTGCAGGGTAAAGCCAGCTCAGCTCCCAGTCCCCCAGCACAGACGTCAAATGCCAAATGGCCACGCAGAAGAGACAGACCCCAGAACCCAGGGGCAGAAGGCTCACTGGAATACACTGAGCTGCCCATAAATTGGACTCTTCTCATTCGAAGAGTGGGTAAACAGCTTAGGGGAAAAGCAGCTTTTAAAAATAAGTCTGGTCTCTCCCGCTGCCTTGAGCCATTTTAAAAGAGCTCTGCAGTCAGACGACTTGGGTTGGAATCCCAATACAGACACATACTAGCCGTGTGACCTGGAGCAAACTGTTTTCTCTCTTTGAATCTTAGCTTCCCTCCTCTAAAACAGGCAATGGAAACTGTTCCAACCTCACAGGGTTGCTCAGAGTATTAAACAAAATAATTCCTGTGAAGTGCTTAACAAAGTTCCTGACACAGAAAAAGTTCTTGATAAAGGCAGGGATGATAAAATTTAAAAAAATAAAGAAATCATATAGCTGATACAAAAACTACCGGTGTTGCTGTGGAAATCATACTGGGGATATTGGCATTCCCAAGCTGACGGAAAGAGGAGAGAAGTGGCCATCCTATTTTCATGTTCCAGCAGCAAGGAACAGAGGGTAACAGTAAACCAGAGGCAGGAGAGGCCCCGAGTCTCCACAAGAAACACTTCTACAGAAGCTGCAAACACCTATGGTTGGGGTTTTCTCATGAACAGGAGCAGAGGAGTGAAGAGGCAGCACAGAAAAGAACACCGGCTCTGGAACCTGACCTTTCTGCCGGGGCACTGACATCTGTCAACGTGACCAGAGCAGTCAAGTGATCAGAGAAGCTTTACTCACAAGAGCCGAAAAGTGGGAACGGTCTGAATGCCCATCAAAAGATTAATGGAGAAAATGTGGTATGTCTATATCTATATCTATCTATCTACCTATCTGTGTGTGTGCGCTAAGTCACTTCAGTCATATCTGACTCTTTGGACCCTATGCATGTGCACACACACACACACACACACACTGGACTATTACTCAGCCATGAAAAAATAAAATCTGTAAAGTCCATATATGTTTGCAGCAACATAGATGGACCTATTATCACACTAAGTGAAGTAAATCAGAGAATGACAAATATCGTATGATAGACAAATAACGTATGATATCACTTATATGTGGAATCTAAAAAGATGATACAAAGGAACTTATTTACAAAACAGAAAGAGACTCACAGGCTTCAAAAACAAACTTACAGTTACCAAAGGGGAGCGGTGGGGGTGGGGGAGGGATAAATTAGGAGGTTGGGATTAACATATACACACTACTATATACAAAGTAAATAATCAGAAACACTGTACAGCACAGGGAACTCAGTAGCATGTGATAACTAATACAGGAAAAGGATCTGAAAAAGGATATTATGTGTATGTATAACTAAATCACTGTGCTGTACACTTGAAGCTAACACAACATTGTAAATCAACTCTATTCCAATATAAAACAAAAATTTTAAAAATAATAAAAACAAAAATAACTAAAAGGTAATTATTAAAGCTACTGGAAATAGTTGGGAGCTGTGTGTAATACAAAGTATAAATCTATATGTGTGGGCGGGTGTAGGTGGCCAAAGAGCAGGACAGGATGGCAACAAAGACAACAATCAACATGGAGCCTTTATGCGGCCCCCTATCTCATTTATAAAAATGGCACCAAAACATTAACCTGGATGTATCGCCCAGAAGACACCAGGAAAACCTGCCTGCTCCAAATGATTTAGCATAGCTACAAGCTCCCATGCAGTAAGACCGCTGCCAAGACACTCACCCAGCTGGATAGGCAACTAAACCTGATCGGGGGTCACAGGCAAGTCCTCTGCCTCCAGACACTGTAATTCCAAGCACCTTCTCCAAGGTCACCTGTGAGAACAAGACAGAGAAGTGTTATGTTATGGACAGAGGGGGTTGGGAAGGAGGTGTTCTCCCACGCTGACTGCTTTCCTGGTGACCCTGTCTTCTGGAGAATGGGGCTTGTCCAGGTTCTAATTTGGCATAGGCCCCCTGATCACATGCCAAAAAAAGCTAGCGTACATCACCAGCTTTTAACAGTGATCAAACTGCTGGATCCAAAGAAAAGAAAATGAAGTGGTTAAAACTCAGCTCATAGCCACAGAGGAACAAGTCCTCCCCCAATCCAGGAAAATTCCATTTACAAGATAAAGCCCTGGGTCCCCACACTGGCCTCTTGGGTCTGTGAGACTCAGGGGATGTCACTGATCTTCATGCCTTGGCAGGAATGAAAGAAAGGCCACTCTCTTCTCCCAGAGCCGGGATAATGTTAGGTATCAATTAGGTGACTCATAATAACCCTGATCTACGCATCCCATCACACTCTTCCCCTCCATCAGATGGCAGCCAGTTCATACAGACTATAAGCCTAGGAGGCAGAGACATGGCTTAATACTGTGTTTTGCAAAGCACAGATGCTCAGAGCACTCTAATTATTATTATTAAGCCACAACTCTCACAGAGATGAAAGGGAAACATACGTAAAGTACTCAGAGATTTTCTGAGAGAACATGGCCACAGGAGACATTCACCATCACTCTCATTGTCACTGTTGCTACCCCACACTGTCTGCAGGCCCTGGGACACCTGCTGGACTAACCTCAGATTAGTTCACTGAGCTTTCTCCTACACAATCCCATGTAAGATTCAGACTGCCCTGTAACTCATCACTCCACCTCACCCCCTGCTACAGAATGCCTTGCCTGTCACTCCAGGCCCAGTCTCCTCAGCAACACCTGGACCCCCCGCACTGGCCCTCCTCAGGGAGGTCCTCTGTCTTCGTTGGTTCAGATGGCAGGGCTTCAGAATGCAGAATGGCCATGTAAACAGGCTAGAGTGTATTCTGTTAAGAGTCTTTGGGGCCTTAATAGGGCCTCAGGAACCAGAAACACTTCAGAAGTATTCACATCCATAGCAGGGGGTTACAGGCTCCTAGTCCATGTCAGTTTCTGGAGAGGGAAAGCCCAGTCACTTTAGTATCTCTCCTTCCTTCTTACTCTCCCAACTGGAGAATTCCAAGTGTTCCTAGAGGGCCAGTTTAAATTCTTATATCCAAGGACCACTTTAGTTTGAATTATGTTGTAAAGAAATGCCCTGAGGTGGCCAACAATCAAAATAAGTTTACTGGGATATTGTAATTAAAGTTATTCCCTCAGAAGGTCCCCAAGAGTCTTCTGTACTTCTTGAGGATGGAGACCAGGAATTCCAACACATGTCTGACAGAGGCAGTTTAGTTCCAGGGCACCATACCGACCCACAGCAACCTTGAAAGAGCCAGACTCGCCAGCTACCCTTGGGTCTTTCTGAGGCACTGAACCTAGTGGGGGATAAACTAACTTTCACTTGCTCTAGATATTCTTGATATTTTGCTCTAACATGCCCCTTTACACACTTTTTCTCAGCTTAACAATCCTCCCCCAGCCCTGGGCACCCAGTCAACCTTTCTGAAAGGTCTGAGCGCTGCACACAGACCGGAGAACACTAAACAACCCTGGGGAAGCCTTGAGGATGCTCAGCTCATGGCACCGCCCCCTATCCTGGCACTGTGCCTCTGGCTATTGCTGAGGGAGGGGTGCTCAGGAACATTCCTGCTGCACCAACTGCCTACTGCAGAGAAAGAGGAGCCTGAGGCCAGCATTACCCACATAGACGACAAAGGTCACCAAAGCAAGGGCTGAGCTAAAAACGCTGCTCAACTCCTATTCTCTCCAAGCTAATCTGATTTCAGGCAAATCCTCTGAATTCACATTTGCATCAATCCCTCCCTTATGCTTCAGCTTTGGTCCCAAAGAATTAGACCAGTCTGTTGGTTCTCAGCTTGCCTTCCCTCTGGCAGGAATTTGGGTAGGTGTTTTGTGGGTAGATGATCCAGTTCCACAGAGAATTAATTCTGGAACTAGCTTGGAGCTTTCAGCAGCAATCTAAAGCAGCAAGGAGATGTGCGTTACTCAGACCTGAAAGACCGGTGTTTATCAAATGATTTTGACCACAACCCATGGTAAGAGACAGTTTACACCTTGATCCAGTGTAAACATACATGCATGTGTGAGCTTGTTCATAAAACTGAAAGTTTCACAGAACAATAGTTAACTCTTGTTGCATGTGATATACTCCAATTTGTATTATATTCCATTTCATTAAAAAGTAATGCTGGTCTTGGCCCACTTAACTGATTTTGTGACCTATAAGTAGACTGGAAGTGGCAGTCTGGGACCCTGCTAAGGCCCATCTCCCCCACTGGGCCTGGGGTTCAGCTGTGGTCCCTGGCACCTTTGTGTTCCTCTGTCACTTTCCTCCTAGGACTCTCGGCAGGAGAGCAGACATCCGGGCTAGGAAACCCCACAGACAGGAGTGCGCCCGGGCTCAAAACTTGGATGATTTTCAAAGGATTTACGAGTTTTGGCTTCTCCAGGCTTTCTGAGCAGCTATCCAAGGGGGAAAAAAAGGCAGTTTCCTTTGGCTCTGCGGAGGGGGAGGAGCAGGGGAAAAACATTCACGGGCATCAGCTGGTTTTTATTTTATGTTCTAACTCAAACCAGCTTCCTGTTTGCAGGGAGGTTTGGGGCTGAGCTCCACTTTCAAAGGATCTGAGAGCCCAGAGCTCTTGCAGGGCTTCCAACATCTAGGCTTATCCTGCGAGGCTCCTGAGCAATGGACCTCAGGAACTGACTCTCTCCCTCTCATAAGCCTGTCCATACCCCTTCCTGGGACAGCTTCCATCTACCCTGGGAAACGGAGCCAAGCCTGGACACCCCTTTGCAAACACAGCCCAGGCTGAGAAGGCCCAAGTTCGAGCAGCGGGGCTACGGTGGCTCGCACCGGCTCAGGAGGCCGACTGTGAACCTCGGCCCCGGCTCCACACCCAGTGGGAGCACACCGGTAGCTTGACATCACCACAGCAGGAGCACGGACACCATGAAATCAGACAGCGCTACCAGCTGGGCCCCCTGTGCCCCTCAGAGCGTGCGTAAACGTTTACCAACACAGCACTAAGCTTAAGCAACTTTCCTCTCTGCCCTGGACTACAGCTTCACTCCCATGTCGTCTCTCTGCTTCGGGCCTTGCTTCCTATAGTTTTTTTTTTTTTTTTTCTCAACATGGCAGGCCACAGTGATTCTTTTAAGAAAGACAGGAGTTCGTGTCATTATGCTGCTCAAATGCCTCCAACTGTTCCCCATCCTTAAGTTCAAATCCAACGTCTTTACCCTGGTTTATAGAATCCTGAGTCACCTGGCCTCTGGCTACCTCTCTGACCTCATTTTCTCCACTTCTCCCTCCCTTATTCCACTCCAACCATCCTGGCTGCCTTAAGCGCCCCAAGGAGATTCTAGCCTCCGGTTCTCCGCATATGCTATTTATTTCTTCCACTAAAATGCTCTTCTTGAACTACTCACTCAGCTAATTCACTCAGGTCTTTGCTCAAAGGTCTCCTCAGAGAAGGTTTTCCAGACTGGCTTTGCTACTATTTCTCTATACCCAACCTATCCTGCTTTACTTTCCTTCATTGTACTTGAGAGTCAGGTACTGACCTGACATGGATTCTATCTTTGGCCACATACTTACTGTCTGTCTCCTCTACTGGGGCATGGCCTAAGTTGCTACCCCTCACTGATGCATCCCTAGCACTTTAAACAGTGCCTGGCACAAAATGGGCACTTGATAAGTATTTGATGCATAAGTAAATGCATGGCAGAGGCACTGGCAAGAGTGAAACAACAGAGATGGGGAGCACAAAAAAACTGGGGTTTTCAGGCCAGTAGCGCTGCCCTCCACAACGTGTCTAACACTGGGTGTGCAGGAGTTCCCTGGTTGTCCAGGGGCGAGGAGTCAGTGTTTTCACTGCCATGGCACAGGTTCAATCCCTGGTCAGAGAACTAACATCCCTCAAGCTGCATGGCTAAAAAATAATAATAAAAGTGCTTGGGCCTGGTGCACTGGGAAGACCCAGAGGGATTGGGTAGAGAGGGAAGTGGGAGGGGGGATCGGGATGGGGAATACATGTAAATCCATGGCTGATTCATGTCAATGTATGACAAAACCCACTAAAATACTGTAAAGTAATTAGCCTCCAACTAATAAAAATAAATGAAAAAAATAAAATAAAATAAAAATAATAAAGTAAAACTGGCTGTGACAAAAAGACCATGTCTAGATGAGGACGAGTACAAAGGGAGGTTAATGGTACAGGTGACATTTTGCTTCTTAAGTTGATGGTGGGCACACAACTGTTCATTTCATTATTCCACATGTATTTAGTGTATGTCTTAAATACTGCACAGTAGAAGTTTAAAAGACAGAAAAGATATGGTCCAGGATGCAGTGTGGGGCTCAGCACCTTATGAGCAACATCCTTCTATAATTTACATCCCTGACTTCTCTTTATCCTCAAGCCACTTCGCTGACACCCACTGACCCAGCAATGTGAGGGGAAGGGCGACAGAGAACTCAAGAATCTGTTTTTACTGGATTTAGGTTTCTCACTTCAGTGCTTGCCAGGCTGTGTTGTATTTGCAATGCTCCCGACACACCACTTCCTTCTGATGGAAATTTTCAAGGACTAGTGCACACATCCCTTCTCCTGACTGCTAAGCCTGGCCGCAGGTGATGAGAGACAGCCCCCTCAGCCTGGCTCCCTGAGTGACTGAGGAGCAGAGTGCCCATGCTGACCCACAGTGAACACAAGCATGAAAGAGAAATAAACTATCTGTTAAATCGGGCAGACGGTGAGGAGATTTGTATGACCACGGTATGACCTAGCCCAGCAATGTTCACACGTTTTGGTCTCTCACGTGCTTTGGTTTCCTTACACTCTTAGAAATTATCAAGGACCCAAAGAGCTTTTGTTTATAGAA